CGCTTGGACCCCCGGTCCAAAAATAAGGGGGGGGTCCAACCACCCTCCAACACCGGTCTCGCCCTGTTTCCAATCCATGTACGTATAAGGTCTATGGTGTCAGTGTGTGTGTTCGCAAGATGGCGTCTTCTTTTCTGTTTTCAAACACCTGCTGCTCTTTCCTAAAGTCCTGAGGAGTCCCACTGTCAACTAAAACGGTTGGAAAAAGTTGTTTTTCGTCAGTTTTCTTCTTTTTCCGTCTTCTCAGAGGCAGCACGAACCAGGAATGTTGATAAATGTTGTCTGATTTATAAGCATCTCTCTCATGACGAAGGTAATAATGCATTAGAGCACATCAAACGATAGATTGAAACTTTTTATTGATTTAATATGTAGGAAATTTTTCTTAGCTTCTTTACTCCTGAGATGTGACAGCTCAAAAATCACTTACTGCGGCAGTTTAGTGAGTTTACACGAAGTGCTGCTCTCCAGAAAGAGCAGCTAGAGTCTTTTAAACTGTAGATGCTTACAAACAAGCTGGAATACAACAAATAGAGCCTAATTGTTGTGTCATAAACTGCATATAAGTGTACAAAACTAAAGCTTTTTATCAGTAACTGGCATGGCATTACTATGTAGTAGGCGGTGCTTAATTTGAGCCGCACGTTTTATTCCAGCCACACCTTCAATTGCTGCAGCAAGCAATGCAAAGCTGAGCAAGCTAACAGTAACAGCAAGACAGCAGCATTCTCTTTATAACTTTTGAAGAACAACGTTAATGTTTCATTTATTTTGTGTTACACTGATGATTGTGGCGAGGGCATGTGCTATAGTGCACTCGTTAATTTTCGTGAGTGTGTGTTCGCAAGAGGGTGTCTTCTTTTCTGTTTTCAAACCCCTGCTGCTCTTTCCTAAAGTCCTGAGGAGTCCCACTGTCAACTAAAACGGTTGGAAAAAGTTGTTTTTTGTCAGTTTTCTTCTTTATCTGTCTTCTCAGAGGCAGCATAAGCCAGCAATGTTGATAAATGTTATCTGATTTATAAGCATCTCTCTCATGACGAAGGTAATAATGCATTAGACCACATCAAAAGATAGATTGAAACTTTCTATTGATTTATTGTTTAGGGAATTTGTCTTAGCTTCTTTATTCCTGAGATATGACAGCTCAAAAATCACTTACCGCGTCAATTTAGTGAGTTTACACGAAGTGCTACTCTCCAGAAAGAGTAGCTAGAGTTTTTTAAACTCTAGATGCTTACAAACAAACTGGAATACAACAAATAGAGCCTAATTGTTGTGTCATAAACTGCATATAAGTGTACAAAACTAAAGCTTTTTATCAGTAACTGGCATAGCATTACTATGTAGTAGGCAGTGCTTAATTTGAACCGCACCTTTTTTCCAGCCACACATTCAATTGCTACAGCAAGCAATACAAAGCTGAGCAAGCTAACAGTAACAGCAAGACAGAGCAGCATTCTCTTTATAACTTTTGAAGAACAACATTAATGTTTTATTTGTTTTATGTTACACTGATGATTGTGGCGAGGGCATGTGGTATAGTGCACTCGTTGGACTCGCCACGCTTGCGTAGGCGGGTACTAAGCAGTTGGGTTGTCATTCTGTCATTCTGTCCACAAAGTTTAATTTATTTGTAAAAAAAATTATCTTTTTGTTTGAGCAGTCTAGAGCTCTATTTCTTCTTCTAGCATCAGATAAAGTTGCTTTCTTTCATCTAGTTATGCTCTTGTAGCATCCCGTGGCACCAAAAGCTGTGAACTGCTAAACCAGGGGACCTCTCTCCAGGTGAGAGCTCGTGTTTCACTCTACAGGGCCGAGATTTGCTTCAGAGGTAGAAAATCCCATCTAACAAAAAACAAAAAAACGATTTTGTCCTAACTTTGTTGTTTGTGAGTTACAGTTGCTCAAAGTTTGTGATTTAGCCTCTTTGAGAATTTTTCAGGTGGCACTGGGGAAAGCAGGAACAACCAAACTCTCTCAGTCTCTTTTAAATATCTAGAAAAATTTTCTAAGCCAACTCTTTTATGTAATAGAGCTTCAGATGCTAAAATAAATTTCAGCTTTTCTTTTATCTCCTACCCATGTGCCATGATTTAGTTAGTTTTTGACCATACCCATAGCTTATTTTAATTATCATTATAACTATGCAGTCAATAATAATAATATTTTTCAAATTGCTTAAAATATCACAGTACAAGTAAAACATATCACTCAGGTGAATTTCAGCAGGCAAGTCCATTGCACCATAGTGCTTCATTATTATATTCAATATGTACAAATTGTGTATATTCAATATAGTGTACATGTATTTACATGTACTTATTGAGTTCAACAATTGATGTATCTTTGTATTACGTCTTTCCTCCAAACACTATTATCAATCAAGTTAGTGGTTGGAGTCACACTCTGCAATGAGAGAGAAATATAACGTTTATTAATGACATTCTTTAGTACATTAAAATATAAAGGATTATAATAAATATGATTCCATGTACTGTATCTAAATTTCTCAATAGTTTAATGAGCTTATCCAGATAGTACAGTAAATGAAAGAAATTGGAAACTACCATTCCCACCTGGCGATGCAGTTTTCGTCACCCCTGGTTACCAGTTGGCAACATCCGTGTTTATCTGCATTCAACATCTCCTCCATAGTAGTTATTGTGCAGAAAGGATCTCGAGGAATTTTGTGACTATTACATCAGGGCCACACTGACTTTTCCACTCATTAAAAATCCAGCCTTCATAGGTCATCTTTTTAGTAGCTGCCAATTAAGTATCTGTTTATCTTAATTTTAACCACTATAAGAATGTAGCTAAAAGTACAGTGCAGTATAGGTTTTATGTAATCATTATTTAACACTAAAAGTATGTATATATAATAAAATAATAAATGGTCAATACTTTATAGGTAATTATGTCCTAGTACAAGCACAGGATACCGTACATGGACTAGAGAGATTAATGAGAGATAAAGATGAACTAATATCAACAATGGAACGAGACATACAATGAACAATATTAAAAGCAATGGAGACAGAGGAGATATATACTGTATTGTACAGAGATACCCTGTCTATATAAGGACTGCTAGAACACATGGAGTCAGAGATGAATAAAAATGTACCCCAATCAAAGAAACAGCTGAGGAGCATGATAGAGGAGAGAGAACTATTAGTGAGATGGCGTCTATAAGTGTAAGGGACTTCATCCAGAAAGAGATAAATTAATAAATAAAGATACTTGAAGCTAGTCATGGTAAGCTAACATACATACATTAATGTACATATATGTCTAGTTGCATAACTTGTATTGCAACTTCGCAGCATTTTATTTGATAATAATATGTGCATGTTGATCTATAGCCGCATGTGCATTGCATGTGAGTGTTTATGTATTGTATTTATTTTAGATGGTAGAGCACAACAATAATTGTCATTGTCACAAGGAGCAGCAATATCAGCACTAGTACAAATGGAATCAGTAAGAGAGAGAGAGAGAGAGAGGGAGGGACAAGAGATAAAGAGAGAAGAAGGGTGATGGAAATAGAGCAAATTTTCACGTACAAGTACATTATTCATAGACTGTTGATGAGAAAAGTAAAGAAATTGAGGAACTGAGAGAAGAGATGACAAATACTGTATAGCAGGAAATTTTCGAGGATAACAAATTTTGCGGATTTTTTCATGATTTGCAACATTAAATTCCTTGAAAATTAATTTAATACGGTACAAGATGGCAGATTAGTGAAAATTTGCGAAAATTAATTCCGCAAACTTCCGGATATGGGTCATTTGCGAAATTTATTATCCTCAAAAAAACCTGCTATATGGTATCTCAGTAGTACAATTAGGTATACCTACTCATTAATGTGTATTATTAGTTATGTTTATCATTAGGCTATTTATAGCAATACTGAACTGGCAAAAACAGTAGAAGTATCCTCTCTGGTCATTATGTTAAAAGAACGTTAAATTCAAAAATGATCATAAAATTCACTTTCAAAAAATTTGATATCCAAAAATTATATTTATAACTATTTTAAACATTATACACGTGAGTAAATCAAGCAAAAATCTATCAAGATTATTACCAAGCATCAATGTTCAATGTCAACACTAAAATCAAACCCCAGTTCATTCCTAATAGCTTCAACCCAGTCCTCACCTAAAGCTTCTGCTGCATCAGAATAACTACCTCTTACAGCAATGAATGAGCTTAAGAACTTTTGACAGTGCTCCTGCACTTTAGGTAGCTTCCTCTTAAAACTAAGACTAGCCTTGAACTCGGTTATAAATTTGTCCATGCTACGAGTCTCTCTGACTTCATCGCTAATAAGACCAGCTGCATATAACTGACTGGCAAGATCTGACAGAGACGTCTTAAGAGAATTGAGTGCAGCATAATGAGATACAAGAACATCATTGATCACTTTCTTTACTTTATTGACATTAACAGCTGATGGGCCTAATAAATTGAGGTTCAAGGTCAGTATTATGTATGTACATTACATGTACACACAGTATTATTACTTACTAGCTCCTCCAATGGATGATGCAGACATTGATTCAATAGAGGAGTATGAGGTATCTGATTGATATTAATTAAATAAACAAATTTGAAGTCATTTATCTATTACTTGTTAAAGGAAGAGGAGTAGGTCTCAGTGATCTGTGAATGAATAATGTCTTAGGATCAACCACTCCATCCAGTGGTATAGAATAGTGCAGTGTAGGAACAGCACCAGGTGAAGCATAGACAGATACCAGACAAGTGGAAGGAAGAGGATAATTGACTTCACCGAACTTATCAACATCACAACGTAAAAACTATTAATACAACCATCAGTTATACATTATATTGCAGCACTTACTCTACAAGGCTTAAGGTGAGGCTTAATATTCCAACCAGTGAATGGCTCACTTTGTAGAGCATCAAACTTTAACTCAATATATCCATCACCTTTGAAACGAAATAGAATATTTTGTCCTCTTTCAGCATGAGGATAGTCTTTTTTGATAAACTACAAACAAAGTCACTATTACAATTATAACATAGTACAGTTACTTCAAGTAGTGCATTAAGATCTTTAGCAGCAGCAAATGTCACCAAATCTTCCGCTCTTTTCTCCTCATAATAAAGCAGTCCAGCATATACCATATTCTCTACTATACCAGTGGAAACTACTACTTTACCTGTAAACAAAAATATAATAACTATTATTCACTGTGTTGGTGTGTCCACTTACTATTAATGTCAGAACTAATCTCAGTACAAGGTATTGGAGCAGTTGTTCCTTCATGCTGTGGCTCTTCATGATTCTTTGACTCTTCTACTCTTTGATTACCTTGCTGTTCATTTCCTTCCTCATGTAATGGCTCACCTCTAGTCTTCCCCTCTTCCTCTACTCCCTCATTACTAGTAGACTCTTCTATAATGATTGGAACAGATTCAGTTGTTTATACACTGACTGACTCATTACTGACCTTGTCCTCCACTGCTAGCTCCTGGTGGATCTTTAGTCTTATCAGGATCACTGGATAAATCACGATTACCAACTTCCCCTTCCTCCTCAGTTTCCTCTTCTGCTTGTTCCTCCTCCTCTTCCTCTGACTCATCTCCATTAGTTGATGATTTGGGTCGATGATTATCCCCAAGGATAGCTACCAAACAGAACTCTTCACGTTGAATGGATCCATACCAACTATCAGGTTTAAACTGCCCTCCCTCAACTATAGAGAACTGATAAGGAAGAGTGGGTGTGCTCACAGGAGCTATAGCAAAATTGAGATGACGACAAAGAGCTGGTTGTCCTGTTAAATCAACACAGTGCTGTATTTCTAATATGAGCTGTTTGAGGAGAGGTTTTGAGAGTGATATTGCATATACAGCACTGACAAGGACAGTATTAGGAGGAAACTGAAACTGTCCTCCTACAAGAGCAACCACTGCTAGCTCAACTGTATCAGTAGAAGATAAACTATTTTCTTGTACTCCAATCCTGAGACCATATTTCT